GCACAGATTGTCCTTCAGTAACAACCAGAGCTCTGGTTGAATTATCACTTATAATAGGTGGTCTACGAACTTGTAGCTCAACATTTGCAGATACATGATTATTTAAAGATATTACAATTTTACATTGATAAAATCCAGCATCAGTCTCTTGTATATCCTTTATCTGAAGTATATGTTACTAATTAGCATTTGAAGAACATAGGCAAACAGTAAAAGTATACATATATTAAACATAATAAAGAATTACCTGTAATACAAAGGTAGATAGAGCATCATCATACCTAAGGGCAAATCTAGTGTCTCTTATAATTAAAGAGCTACCATGCGAAAGAGCTAGTTGGTCATTGGCAACATCTTTGTTAATTTTTGTCCATAAAACTGGAAAATCTTGAGCATATTGAACTGAGCAATGAAACTCTACAGTTTGACCAATATCTTTAATTTGCTCTTGGGATATATAAGATATTGTTGGTGTACGTTGACCCTTTACTGAAAAATGTGAGAACAAAGTTTCTACTTGAACATTTCACTTTAATGGTATACAATATTGCAATTCCTAGCAACAAAATCTTTAATAGACACAACATGCATTCCTTTATGTGACTTTGTGCGAATATCACATTAATTCAATAAAACAAAAGAGATTTTCTAAACATTTTACGTACGGGTTATCGGTATTTAGCTTTATTAATTAGCTTCCGATAAATTTACGGAAACATACATTTTACCTACGTACAATATAGTACGTGCAAAATAAATCGTTCTATCATTTACCTGCTTGGAAAAAGACGAACGCCAGAAGCGCATAAACAGTCTTCATTATGACACACCCAATACTGGTTCACCCAACGCCCGAATAATCTTCACCTTTTTTTGTCGATATTATATCCACTTGTTTCACTTAACATAGGATAATACTTATTCGTTTCGTTTACTTAATACTTTAAACAAATAGGTTGTTGCGAAATGCAACGACCTACGTTAACGACAATCTAAATATCGTTTGCGTTGTTGTCAAACAACGCAAGCGGACAGTAATGAAAAGGAAGTAATGCTCACAGGTGTCTGTTGACCGAAAATAAATATGGCGAATGACGCTACATCTCGGATCAAGCGAAATACTGAAAGGGAAAAGTTTTTCATTTATATTACAAACTACACAAATCCATTTCTTTATTTTCATAGTACTCGTTTAAATATTTTATTTTCATCTAATGTATAATTTTCTATCACAAAAAGGAACGATTTTGTGGAAGTTAACAGTTGTACAAGTGATTTTCCGAGTCCATTCAAATTTCTAGTGTAAAGTATATTATATGTAACGGTGCACTTCAGTAAATTATCCTTACTATTTTCAATAAATATATCACTTTTTAAATGCGTTTCATCTAAAAACTTTATATAGGAAGATGTAAACAAACATTCCAGAATTGTGATTCTATTCTTCCTATATTAAAATTAGTGATATATAAAAAGTTCTAATAATAAATGGAAATAAATATTTGATCGCAATTAAAAGATGCTACGATCACGTCCTCTGTTGACATGCTATATCCCATCGCTACGAAGTTGTAAAGGTGACTAAAGAATATTAGGCAAATTGTATGCATGTGTATGTTAACAATTGTAGGAAAAGTTTTTACTAACAAGTATTCTACGTGACTTTCAGGTAAGTCGCCTTACGAAGGTTACGTTATTTAAGTTATGGACAATGTCAAGAATCTAGTTCTGTACTATTTCAGGAAAAGCGGGCGATATCTATCCACGTAACTAGTTCAAGACAATTTTATTGTCGTAATGACATCTTGGCAATAAAGAAATCGGATCACCTCAAAAATAGAAATACATCCTTTAATTATAGCGTTACACTTTCCTATCCTATTGTTATTTTTATCCAAACCGCTTGTGATATAAAAATAAAAAGTATCCGTTAAAAAAATAAAGAAACTACGGTGTTCTATTATCGTTAATGCTGTTATCGTACATTACCCGGATTATACGTTGGAAAGGATCATAACATTCGTTATTCCTTAGTGACGATGTTGCGTGCAAGTTTATACTCATCCCTTTGTTGGTATTTTAAGTTCATAAAAGAGCCGCTCGGTAATGTTCTATCACAGACGAGGTACAGTTCTGTACTCGTTTGTGAAGATACGTAACATATGTTGTGCTCGTTCGGTAACCATAGCAATTCGAAAACCTCATTGTCTCGTGCATTCCTCGATCGTGTACCTACACAAGGGTTAAAATCCTTCATAGCTTTACGCGTGTGTGAAACACATACTATTTATTGGTCATCCATACGTAGCCACGAATAATACGTCGTGCATTGTTTAAGACCTGCATTGAATACTACGTGCTTGTATCTGTGTACACGTTTACGAATATACTGATTAATGTATAAATAGAAAATCATAAAGGAGAAAAGTATTCGATTGAGTAGAAAATGATTGAAGAAGTGTTACTTTCAAGATGCTAATATGTGCCAACTAACACGATGCATCAATACGATGATAAATTCTTACAAGAAATATTCGTAGTCATCTGTTACGCGCACGAATAAAATTACGCGAGTTCGTAGTGTGGAGCGCAAATAGACGAGGCTTGATCGTAGAAGAATATCGAAACACGATACACGCTCGCAATTACATGTGTGTACCTATTCGTGTACAGGCATGTGTATAGTTACCATTCGTAAATAACACACGCACGGCCATGTGTGCAACATATAAGTATCATCCTGCCACGAGGAGGTCAGTATGTGTCACAGTATTGTGGCGGAAGCAACCGGCGTCACCTGACTAGCATCAACATCATTTGACAGCTTAGGATACTTTATGAAATTTTGGAAATGGTGTAACTAAGTGGTGGTTTTATTGAAGATTACGAATTAAAGGAAGTTTGACCGATTATTTTAATGCTCTTTGACATTTTTCGTTGCAACGAAATAATAAGTTCCTATAAAAGTGTTTTTTTTTTTTTTTAAAAGAAAATTGTCGAGCTTCAAGACGATCGAAGAGATGGGGAAAAGTTCGTTAAATATTTCGGAGGATCAAGCACTGTCGTCAGTCTTCCGACTCTTAGACGTATACTAATCATCCAGAAATATGATCCATGTCTTGTCAATTTATACCGCACTATGTCAGCTTTATGAATACAGTTTCGTAATGCCTGTTACAAGTTACCGATATAAGGTACCCTGTCTTCTCCCATAAAGTGGTGCCCTACCCCATCGGTCAAGAGGAATGACATCATAATAGCAACTAATGATTAAATGTAACAATAAAATGGAAGTTAAGAAAGTGAAAGGAGAGAACTGTAAATATGGTAGAACGAAGTGTTCCAATCAATGCATACAATGAAATATCTGCATACATTCTCAAACGCCAATTACAGAGTTCGTACTTGACTGTCCAAAGATTTTTCGTTTCGTGCTATGGATTTATAGATCTACCCTAGATCCGACAGGAAAGACTCGAGTGGAATGTCAGCACGTTTCCTCATGGGCCAAGGGCATACGAACCTCCTCGAGTCGGAAAAGGTGATAACTATAGAATAGCCAGCTAGTATTCCATTCATAATTGAGAAAGAAAGTCAAACCGTGGCGAGGTCGCAGCCTCAAACTGTGATCGATCTCTTTTACTCAACGATGAGTGATCAGGGTTGATTACCACAGGGTTTCCAAATGTCGATCGAACCGGAATCTAACTTTTCCGTCGATCCGTTGTCGTGCCCCGTAACGCGTTATCGATCGATTAACAACCGCATAATAAAGTTGCAAGGACGATTTATTGTTTGATGTGACTGCATTTCGTTCTAGAATAGAAAGTGATCTTTGTCTGTGAAATACCAAGAGTTCATTGTTACCGATATGTATTAACCGTTTTACGTGTGACGATTCAGCAACTGTGTTCTATACCACGAATTCGTAATGTGTGCATTCAACGACAATAGAATCTACGAAAGTGCTAATTTTTACTGTCGATTAAGTGTCTGAAAGTGATGGAAAGTTACGTCGTTCTGTGATTTTCATGCTGGAAACGATGACAATTTGACGAAGATTATGGTGTACATTGTGCGGCATACTGTTTACTGTGAATCGTTACCATGAAAATAGCTGGATCGAACTTATTCAAAGAGACAGCATTTTACCATCGTTACGGTTTACAGAATGACAGCATCGATCGAGATTGTCACGGAATTTGCATTTTTCTTAACTGTCACCAGTGATAGAGGAAGTTTCTTCTAGAGATTATTCGTCAAGCTTTTTCGAACGCAATGGATAACAGTGAACTTCGAGTTGAAGATGAAACACAGGTATCACGTTTGATTTATGTAGTTTACTTTCTAAATAAAAACTCAACTATTATTAACAACAGAGCAAGTGTATATACGAGCGTTGACTGACTGAAATATACTTGCGTCTATTTCTAATGCTATCATGCATAAATGAGAATAATAAATATTTTAAATATTGCATCGCGGTCATTTTAACTCTATCTTATCGACGAATCTCGTCAATGAAGCTATCTAAATAATAAATCTACAACGACCGCGCGTCATCTAGATTACCTACTTAGTTATACGTTATGGTGTAAAAATGAGACTCATTACTGAATTATCTAGTAAATTATGTTCACGTGATAGACATTCCCCGCGGCTAAATGCTGCTCGTTTCATCGATCTCGACGAACGTCGAAACTGCAACAGATAAAGTTCAATAAAATATGCGAGGTACGCTGAAACATGCAGCAAATCGAAGAATTTAAATTAACAATGAACCTTGACGTTTATGTTTTACTGTTGCTATGAAAATTACCGGCGTAGCGCGCTATTCAAATTCTTTAAACGGAAAGCAAAAAATTGTATGCAAAAAATTTGTTATACCGATAAACGTCTCTTTATGTGATATACACAAAACAATTAAAAATGCGCATATATCTTTTGTATTAGGGTAAATATAACGATAATTAATGTTATTTTTTAGAATGAACACAGCAGGCGGCAGAGTTTGTCCACGAAAAATACAAACGTCAGTGAGTTCAGCCCAAGCAGATTTCAAACGATCGTGAATGCGATGGGAATGGAAAATTCGCCATCGAAAGTGGCATCAGCAAATTCGACACCGGAAAGAACAAATTCCTTGACTAAATCGAATTCTCCCAACTTGAACAAATGCACGCAGATTGAATTTAGCAAAGAAGTAATGTACGAAATGGATAAAAATGGTATTCAGCCAAATGGATCGCCGAAAGCTAGCAGAAAATTATCTAGATCCAGCGTTTACCCCTCTGGAACGAATCTGACCGCTCGAGATGCTTTTGGTACCAAAAAATCTTTTTATTTAAAGAAAAGAAAAAAAAAACAATTATTTTATATTTGAAGGAGAAATTTGATAATTCTTTTAGTTACGTCATACTACACATACACTTTCATTTAACCTGTTTCGTAACTCTTGTTTAAGGAAATATAATTTTTTCGAAAAATTGATCGTTTCTTTAAATAAATAAAGAAAAGTAGTGTTCGGGAAAATTTGATTCAAGATACGTAGTTGAAACGGCGCATAAGAAACGTTGGATTAATTAAGAATTTGAATGGTCGGTACATAAAGGATTATGTATTCATAATGGTACGTTAGCCTGGTAATGGTTTGAAATCGGTCGAACGAAACCACGATCAATATACATATGAGAATGTCTGTGTAACGAATCATGGATATTAATAATGTACATGCAACTTCAGTATGGTCGTGAAGACCCTACAACTGTCAGACCATTGTCAGACAAACACGTGTCTCCTATTATTATCCACCATTTTTGTCTCGTGGAACGTGAAACTTTTGATAACGATAATTACACCCTTTCTATTGTGACGTCACTTTCAAACTCGAACGTGACACGTGACTTTATGTATTCTTTTTGTAAGACGGACTGTCAAGGTTGAAGGATTTTGTACAGCTGTACCGGTAAAATCAATTCAGCCAGAGCATAGTGGCGGTTTGCTAGAAGTTTTCACGCAACAGGTGCTGAACAACCTCTTTGCACGCACGAGTATGATCAATAGAAAAACTAGTAAACAGAGTGTTTTACGTGAAACATGTATGATAAATTTGGTTAATTTTTAGTTTGCTGAATTATTTAATGCCACGATTATTTCACTGTTCTATTAGAAAATCTGATAATTAACTTGAACATTCGTTTTATTATTCATAGGTCCTAAGCTAACAACACCGACAACTCCTGAAAATACTCCACCGTTGCTGGAAACACCTATTTTTCCAGATGACATACCAAGAGATTCCTTGTTGCACAACGATTCGTCTTCGGAAACGGAACTGGACCCTGAAACGCTCTATTTTCGGTGTGTAAGGATCTATAGAACGTGATAGATTGATTATCAAAATTATACTTTTGATTTCATTCTTTTTTTATATGCGGAAGGAATGGTAATTCTTTTTCTACATATATAAAATAATAGTTTATTTTTTTGTATAAGTTCTTTGTACTCTTGTTGTTTATTTTTTTTTTTATTTTTATCAGTCCAGGGGAATGAACAAGAAAGTGGTGAAGAATTTCATATGCACGATCACCTGTAGATACATATTACTGTGTAATAACAAGGAGGGAGCATAAAATGCCACGAACACATTCCTATAATTAGTGAGTGATACGCGTGTAACGTAACAGCCAGCAACACGTACGGAAAGGGCGTGAATCCATAATTAATTTTTTCATCGCGTGGCGTTCGAACCGTCGGCGAATTAGATTATTGCGATTTTATATCTTAATAAGTTTACGTCAGTCGTGACTTATTTCCGTTCAAGTCGGGTTTAATTTTAGACATTGTCACGTTACGATCACGTTATTTGCTTTACTATTAGGTTGTTTCAAGGGTTTCCGTGTTTTTTCGCGCGGTCTACTTTTACCACCACGTGGCAGATTTGATTGGAATTGTAATGATTCATACAGTTTTCTTTCCTTAATGCTTTATCACGCATACATTGAATTACATATTTAGAGAGAGAGAGAAACAAGATTTTTTATATTTCATCTTTTTAAATGACTCAAGGAAATTCTGAGAAAATGTTGCACAACATTTACCTCAATGACTAAAAATGCTATAAATGGCAACAATAAAAATTTCAAAAAAAAATAATTTTTATTTTAATACTTATTTTAATATTTTTAATATTTTGAAGCCTTATTAATTAACAGAAAGAAACATTTACATTATAAGGGACGGTGAAAGACCAATGGTACTTAGTGCATTTTTGTAGGTTCAGTCTTAAATTGTTTTATTAAATACCGTGCAATTTAATGTATCGTATTGTAGAGATGGCCGCAGACGGATTGACATGGTGCTAGTGTACCGGGAAGACAACAATGGGGTGATGACCGAAATAGAAGCTCGTCGAAAGGAGCAGAGACGCGTTTTCCAGCAGAATTTGTTGAAAGAGGGCTTGCAATTGGAATTGGAACCGAAGGAGAACTCCTTCGACGGGAAGACTTATTTCTTAAAGTTGCATATTCCATGGAAGATCAAGGTTCAATACGCTGAAGTTATGAATCTAAAGTTACCCACCAAAAGATTTATTACCATCTCTGTTAAAGCTTGGGTAGGCTGATAAAACTTTCCAACATTTAAAAAAAACACTTGTCTTGTTAAACTTTAATTAAATTCAATTAAATAACCACTGAATTTATCAGCAAGGTAACGAGGACGCGAAAGAAAGGCCGAAGCTTTGGGAAAAGTGGATGCGTTGGATAAAATGGATAAAGAAGATACACACCTGGGATATTAAGAAGTATCCGGAAGAACCTAGCTTTTACGATAGCATTGATTCTGGCGATCGAGAAGAGAGGTAAAAATATTAAAGAAATGAATGTCCTTATCAGGAAGTCAATTGTCATTTCTTTTTTTTTTTCGTAGATTTGTAGTGAAAGACAGGGATACAGCTTACACGCCCGCTCAAAGGTCACTAATAGTAATGCAAATATTATTACGGACAAGGTACGACGAAAATCATGAGAAAGCTGGTATTCGTAGACTGTTGGCGGATGGCACTTATCTCGATTGCTTTTCGCTTCACGAGGGTCCGTATAATAAACCGGGGCTTAACGGAGAAATTTTTGATAGACACTTATTGTACTTAATATGGGCTAGACCTTCACAATGGTAATTTGACAGATAGTTTCGCTTGTTTAATCAAAGATTTCGTAGTGAATTATTAATACTTAAGATATCTCTACTTGGTATTGGATAGTGGTACAACTGTAAACATGTCAATCTTATGTTTTCGCACAAATAACACATTTCTAACTACGTACATTAGTTTCACATCAGTATTCAACTATTAGTTGAATGTAAATTTTAAACTACCTTTCCAGTAAAAATTAATTTTTTTACTGATACCATTATCAATGCCAAGAAAAGATATACAGCCAAATAATGTATATAAATTTTATATACTTTACCGTATTAATCGTTTTCTCGATACGAGTACGTAAGATGAAAATGTAGCTCTGTACTCTTAGGTACAAAAAACAACCACTTTGGTTGATCAGACGATATTTTGGCGAGAAAGTGGCGCTTTACTTTGCTTGGCTGGGATTTTACACAAAATGCTTGTACCCTCCAGCGATTGTCGGCTTCTTATGTTTCATGTACGGTGTAGGAAGCATGGAGGGTGTTGACAATATACCCAGTAAAGAAATATGCGATGATGGTGTAGCTGGTACGTTTGTTTCAAGTAGTTTTATTTTATTATTTAATTTCTTATTTTATCAGGTGATTCTCTTTTTGTTAGGAAATATTACACTCTGTCCCCTTTGTGACAAAGCATGTTCTTACCAAAGACTGGGCGATTCCTGCCTATTTTCAAAGTTAACTTACTTATTCGATAATCCTGCCACTGTCTTCTTCGCCATCTTCATGTCGTTTTGGGGTTCAGTATAGAAAACACAAATTTACCTTTTTTTGAAAAATATATTTTATTATTTATTTACGTCTTTCCACTAGCTACAACATTCCTTGAACTGTGGAAACGAAGGCAAGCTGTAATAATTTGGGAATGGGATCTTCAAAATGTCGAGAGCGACGAGGAGCCCAGACCTGAGTTTGAAACCACGGTGAAAACATTCCGAATAAATCCTGTGACCAGAGAAAGAGAGCCTTACTTACCGGCGTGGTCTAAAGCCTTACGTTTTTGTGCTACTGGTTCCATAGTATTCTTCATGGTAATTGAACAACCCAAATAAAAATTGATCGCAATTTTATAGAATGTTAAATGAATGAATTATATTTAAATTATATTTAGATATGCGTAGTACTGGGTGCTGTACTGGGAACAATAATGTACCGAATATCGTTGGTGCCCGTGTTTTACAGCGGTGGTGGTACATTTTTAAAGAATCATGCCAAGATTTTCACCTCCATAACTGCTGCCCTTGCTAACTTGGTGATCATAATGATCCTTACGCGAGTTTACCATCGTCTAGCACGATGGATGGTGAATATGGAGAATCCTAGAACGCAAACTGAATACGAATCCAGCTTCACCTTCAAAATATTTCTATTCGAATTCGTCAATTTTTATTCGTCACTCATTTATATCGCCTTCTTTAAGGTCAGTGACACAGTAGCATAATTGTAATTACTTTTAATTACACATCGGGTCAAATAGAATTATCGGAAAAAAAAAAAACTTACAGGGAAGATTCTTCGTTCATCCTGGAGATACAGATGCTAGATCTACGGAATTCTTTCGCATAAAGACGGACGTATGCGATCCAGCGGGTTGTCTGTCGGAAGTTTGTATACAGCTCGCTATTATAATGGTGGGCAAACAGTGCTTCAACAATTTCGTAGAAATACTGTCGCCGAAACTGTGGAATTGGTGGCGTAAAAGGAACCACGTTGCCGCCACGAAAGATCACGCTAGGCCGTATACTTATTGGGAGAAGGATTATCAGTTACAGGATCCTGGAAGACTTGCTTTGTTCGATGAATATTTAGAAATGAGTATGGAAATTCAACGTTTAGAAATATCATTTTATTTTCACTTTTACATCATTCTTATTTTCACAGTCTTGCAATATGGATTTGTGACCCTGTTCGTCGCAGCATTTCCATTAGCACCGTTATTTGCGTTGTTAAATAACATAGCTGAGATACGATTGGACGCATACAAAATGGTGAAAGAAGCTAGGAGACCATTAGCCGAGAGAGTGCAGGATATAGGCGCTTGGTACGGCATACTTCGTGGAGTAACTTATGTTGCAGTGGTATCGAACGTAGGTGATAAAAAAAAGAAGAAACTCGCTATTCGAGATTTATCATTATGCAGCGAATTTTGACGACAAATCTATTATACAGGCGTTCGTTATTGCATATACGTCAGACTTCATCCCACGAAGCGTTTATGCCATTGTTTACTCTCCAACAAAGGATTTAGTGGGTTACATTGACAGTTCTCTGTCGGATTTCAACACGTCGGATTATAGGGACGATATGAAGAGTGATATGGACAGAAATCATCCGGAAACTTGTCAGTACAGAGGCTATAGAAATGGACCGGATCATCCTACGGATCCGTACGGCCTCAGTCCTCAATATTGGCATGTCTTCGCAGCTCGTTTAGCCTTTGTTGTTGTTTTTGAACACATTGTTAGTTGAACTCCTTGTAAACTTTATTTACAATGTTCATATTTCACTATAAATCTTATATTTGTTGTAATTCAAATTTTCGACTAGGTCTTCGCCCTGACTGGTATAATGAGTTACGTGATACCAGCCGTACCTCATTCTCTGTCTACTCAATTACAAAGAGAAAGTTTATTGGCTCAGGAGGCTAAGTATGAGAAAGGTTTAAAGAGCAGAGAGGATGAAGACGACATCTTGTCCATGCTTAGAGAAGCAGGGAGTATTGGAAGGCCTACAGGAGGTGGCAGAGGTAGCTGGGCAAGGCGCTTCAGTAAATTAAGCGATGGTTTAGACGCCCACGTTGACGAAGCTTCCAAACATAATAGAAACAGCGACGGATCAACCGTATGGGAGGTGACATAATTTTTTGAAACGTAACAATTACGTTTGACCCACCAGGGATGTATTTAAAAAACATTCTTTGAATAACTTGCTTATTTGTACAAAGATTTTTTAGCTCTGCCGTTGTGTAAATTGTACTTAAACGTAGTCCTACGTAAATATTGGAATATTAAGTACAAATGAATGAAGAAATAATTGTGATATTTTAGAAACACGTATACTCGATGACAAAAGCGATGAAATTAACGTAGTAACGAAGTGATAAATGCCGAAAGTATCTCGACGTTCTTTTAAAAGTTGAACAGAAGTTCAATGTTCATTTAGGAATATTTTAATTGTGACATCAATGATATATGTGTGATTTAAGTAACAGAAACTCTATCAGTATTAATGTAACGAGAGAGTTATATACCTCTTTTATAATGCTTAAATCCGATACTCTATTTTCTAAACTGATATTTTGTTAAGATAGTGTTAGGTCATAATGTTAATGATAGAGATACGAATAGAAGTGTCGATCAATTAAATAGCGCAGTTTGCTGTTCTTACTTTCTCGATCTCGTGAAACTACGTTTTAAGCGAACGTCATATATATATGTACATGTATATGATCTTAAGCATTGATTATTTCATCCGAGCATTTACTGATTAACATAGAATGATGCATATAAAGAAAAACCATAACGAGTTGTACAGTACAAAATTTCTATATTATAACGAAAAACTTAGAATTTTTTAAGCATTAAAAATACGATAAAATTACAA